GTCCAGTAGATTGGGGAGGCATGATTTCCGCTTACACAAATCTTATTGACACTTCCTCAGCAAAGCAGGTTCATCTATGGTCTGACAATTTTGTTCTTTATTATGTCAACCAGTGTGCTAGGTACTGAATAAAGGCTTACAGGCCTTGTAGTTGTCAGGATCTTCTCTGGAGTTCTTTTTAAAGCTTAGAGTTACATTAGCTATCCCCTACTCATCTGGTACAGACAGGGGCGGATGAGAATGCCGCGGGGCGGGCCCCGGGCAGCAAAATTTCACGGGGCTCCCCCCTTTGACATAGCGCATGCGCCGTGGTGCCAAGGCGCACGCGTGGGGCCTCGGGAAGCGCGGGGCCCGAGGCAGCCACCTCGCTCGCCCTGCCCTAAATCCGCTGCTGGGTACAGAAGCTGATGAATACGTTACAAATCAGTTAATTCTGCACTTTCACATTTCAGTACCTTTAGAACTTGTGTGAATGCCATCTGGTCCTGGTTATTTATTACTGTTTATCAATTTGTTCCAAAACCTCCTCTAAGGACACCTCAATCTGGGACAAACCTCAGATTTGTCACCTAAGAAGGATGGCTTAGAGAGTCTGGGAATCTCCCTCCCATCCTCAGCTGTGAAGACTGACGCAAAGAATGTATTTAGCTTCTGCACAATGATCTTACTGTCCTTTAGCATCTCAATTGCCCAGTGGTCACACTACACTGGTTGTTAAGCAGGCTTCCTACTTATTTTATTTTGCTGTTCTTCAAATTTTTTTGGTCTTCCTAAGTTACATATATACACTCCACTTACCAGTGTTTATGCTCCTTTCCAGTTTCCTCACTAGGATTTAACACCCATTGTTTAACAGAATGTCTTTTTACCTCTCACTGTTTCTTTTTCTTTTTTGGTTTAGCCACGGTGGCACTATTTAAAAAGTTTCTATGCAGCTCACAGGGATTTCACTTTTGCCGCTGTACCTTTTAATTTAACTTCCTCGTTTTTTTGTAGAGTTTAATTTCAGAAAGGGCACTACAATGATGAGTCGCTGTGGTGTATTCCCTGTCATAGTGGGTTAATCCACATGAATTTATCTAATTTTTTGAACCCAGTTATATTTTTGGCCTTCACAACATCCCTGGCAACACTGTTGCATTCTTTAAACCAGTCCTATCTAGTTAGCATTAGGCAAAGCACCAGACAATAATCCATTGCAGTGTCTGTGTGGCAAAGGCCTCAGATTTCTGTGGCACTCTGCCAATGCAGATTGCAAATTTTGTGGCAAGCTTCAAATAAATTAGGAAGCCACACAAGGAAATTCTGAACTGAATATGAACTGAGTAGGTCAGTACAGTATTTGTTGTTGTATATAATTTGACATTAACATAATTTATACTACGCGGCAGAATTGTGCCTCAAGTAATCTCTACACTGCATCTACAGGTTGTGTAGGGAGATGTGTTACGGAAAAGGTGACTGGACATACATACAGCATGATTATTCAATTATAACAGTAATATATATTCCTCATGTACATCAGCTTACGTCATTACAATTTTACAGTGAAGTTAGGAAAGTTGGGGACCTGAAATAACATTTAATAATGTAGACCAACCCTAAATTAGGACATCTGCATATGAGGGGAAGTCAGCAATTTTGTCATTGTTTGGGGTTGGGGGATTGGATGTTTCTGCTACAATGATCAGCAGTGAAACAGCTAACTATATAATTATTTACAATAAATGGGGCAGAACATCTGTCAGAACTACAGGAAGTCCCCAACTTGAGAATGAGTTGTGTTTCAAAACTTTGTAAGTCACATTTTCCCATAAAAGCAATGCTATAAACAGAGCAGCTACGTCTACACTGGCATGATTTTCCGGAAATGCTTTTAACAGAAAAGTTTTCCGTTAAAGCATTTTCGGAAAAGTACGTCTAGATTGGCATGGACGCTTTTCCCGCAAAAGCACTTTTTGCGGAAAAGCGTCCATGGCCAATCTAGATGGGCTTTTCCACAAAAAAGCCCCGATCGCCATTTTCGTGATCGGGACTTTTTGCGGAAAACAACTCTCTGCTGTCTACACTGGCCCTTTTGCACAGAAGTTTTTCGGAAAAAGACTTTTGCGTGAACAGGAGCAGCATAGTATTTCCGCAAAAGCACTGACAATCTTACATGAGATCGTCAGTGCTTTTGTGGAAATTCAAGCAGCCAGTGTAGACAGCTGGCAAGTTTTTCCCGCAAAAGCAGATGATTTTGCGGAAAAACTTGCCCGTCTAGACACAGCCAGCCAGTTTGAAGGGTGGGCAAGCTGGGCAGTAGCCCGCTCGAGACACGCAGCAATTAAAGGGGCCGTGACCACATTTTGGCCCTCCCCTCCCTCCCTTCTTTTTTGCTTGACAAATATTCTCCAGCAGTCGCTGGGGGCCTCCAATTGGTTAGGACCAGCCCTGGTTATAAATGGTAGTTAGGTTTCCCAGGCTAGCCCATAATGTAGCTGAAATACTGTATATTTGCAATGAAAAATAATAAAATTAGTTTTTTTTAAACTTTAACCTTGAATGCTTGAGGAAAGGCAGATTTAATTAGCGTAGGGCAAAGAGGTAGGTGGAGACAGAGTGTGACATCAGGGCATCCCCTCACCACCCTCCCTCCGTGGGCTGTGCTGGCTCCTTCAGCCAGCCCCATCCCCTGACCACGCTACCTCACAGGCTGCACCCAGTGCCCGTTCCCCAGGAGACAGTGAGTGGTACAAGCACTGGCTGGAGGTCTCCAGAGGAGCAGGGCAAGGCTATGCAGACCATGGCTAGGGACAAGCGGCAGTTTCCCCTTCAAAGCTTCTCTCCAGCCGCATGACTGCCTCCCTCCCCTGCTCCCTCAGAGTCCCTCAGCCAGCACTTGTGTTGCCCACAACCACGCATGCCTCTTGCCTGCTCCCCTGAGTCTGTAGGTGAGCTTTGGTTTGTATGTGCAGATGTTCCTAAGTCGGAGGTTTGTAACTCGAGGAGTGCCTGTATTGTTTCATGGGCAGATTTCAGGAGCACTACACTGGTTGAGCACTGGTCTCGCTCTTGGAAACTGCTCTCTGCAATCATGTGGGACGTTTGTTTTAAATTGAAAGCTTAAATTCTGGAGCACACTTCTGTGGCTGGGGTTGGATTCCGTGGCTGCAGAACATTTAGCACCCTGGCAATGGCTTGGGAACAGCACCAAGGAGTTGCCGCAGTGTTAGCAACAGTGATTTTTTAACTGCAAGCATGCAGATTAAACCGCATCCTAGGCTAAGCCTGTAACTAGACTAGATCACTGCCAAGGCTAAAGCAGTAGACCAGATTCACTCTAGGTGCAATAGGATGGCAGAAGGAATAGCTTTTTCTACAGATAAACCCCCTAGGCTTACAGCAGATGTGGGTGCGGGAGATTCACAGAGGTGTGTTTTATACTGTTTGCATCAGCTTGTTTGAGTCTCCCTAATCTACTTTAGTGCATTTTCACATCCCTAATCAGAAGCAGCATCTTAGGTTAAGTGACCAGGTTAGAGACTTCCAGGCTCCAGTTCTTGGGCCCAGGGAAATGGTGTCTGGAGGAGGACTGGAAAGTGAGAGGAGGTGGCTCTATACAATTTTATGACCCATGGAGACATCAGGCAAGTGAAGAGGAGTTAGTTTGGCCCTCTACATAACTTATGGCTGCTTAAGTTAGACTGGCTGGTACTGTGCTCCCAATGAGTCACTACACCAGCTGAGGATCAGCCAAAAGTCAGCTACTCTCCCGCAAGGTGCCCTTCATGATTCAGGCCTGAGAGGTGATGTTGCAGAGATAAGAGCTGCAAGAGTCTTCAGCTGCCCAGTTAGGTCAGCTTTGCAACCAGTTTGTACTCTCAGGGCGGTGCAAGAGAACCCCATTGTGGGGGGCAGGCTCTGGACCAATGCTGTAATGAAGATGTAACAAGGAAATGTTAGTGTTAGAAAAGGGGAGCCGAGAATTGTTTCATGCCATGGCAAATAAGCCAAAATAAAAAAAAAAAAAAAAAAAAATAACATTTCCTTGTTACGTGTTAGAAAAGGGGAGCCAAGAATTGTTTCATGCCATGGCAAAAAAAAAAAAAAAAAAAAAAAAATTCTCTGAGAGACACAGATTCAAGTCCCTCTTCTGGCTGATAGAGAACCAAGTTCTTCATCCCAGATCACTCAGAGCAGGGACATGAACCTGAGTCTGCCTGGTACCACTCTAGGATCCTAACCACCAGGCTATGGAATGCGAGGGTTGATCAGTCATGACGCACTAACAAAAATCTTTGTTGAAACTGGTAGGTCTCTGCCAGTGGAGAGAGTTCAGAGAAGGGCTACAGGAATGATGACAGAATTAGAAACATGCCTTAGAGATGGACTCAAAACGGCAAGCTACATAAATTGAACAAAGAAGATTAAGAGCTAACTTGGGCCAGGTTTGCACTACAGATCTTATAGCAGCACACTCGGTGGTAGTGTTAGAAAACCCTTTTGTCTGTGCATTTTCCACAATGATGATCCTGTAGTGAAAACATGAATGATATTCCTAAGCAGGACCCAACAAGTTCACTGTACTCCATCAAGTTATTACAGTTAGTTCACATTTCAGGCCATTCTCCCTTCCCCCTCTATTAATCCATCTGCTTTGGGTGGGTCTCTACTTTATGATGTAATCAACAGATTACAAAGAAAGTGCTACACCACGTGTTTTAGAGAGCAGCACACTTAAACCGTCAAAAGCCTTCAAGTGTTTTTTGAATCGGGGGGGATCGTTCTTTTGAGAACCTTCAAAAATTTGCCTTTACAACTATCATATACTTGCCAAGGCCAGATTATAGAACAATGTTCTAATGCGGCATTTATGAAAAGGAAAATCTACAATAGGTTTAAAAACTATTTTTAGGTCAGTTTAAATTATCTCCATCACTTCATAACCAAGCCAGATAAAGTACAGAGTGAAAATTCTGACATGGTTATTTACCCTGGCTTACCCAATAGCCCCTTACCTCAGTGATTGCATCTGTCAGATCACCACTCAGATGTGCTCTCTGTAGCAACGCAAAGAAGTCAATGCTGGATTTGCGCCTGGGTTCTGATACGCGTATTACTTCCGTTTCTGTTGTGTTGATCTCTGTGCGCACAGATCCCTGCTCTCTCCATTGCCGGTCCTCCCCTGTCCATTTCAAAGTGCTGCTGCTCTTGAGAGACACAACTGAGCTGGAAAGAATGCTGGGGATATAGGTGGGCAAGGCCTGGGAATCTGTATAAGTAGATTCTTCTGCGACAGACCCACTCTCCAGTAGGTCAGGCACTGATAAGCTGAGGCATCGGTCAAATGACTGCCTTTGCCTTCCATCCACCATTTTTCTAGAGCTTTTCCTTGTCCTCTTTATGTTGAAGTTTTGTAACAAAGGCCTGGTTTTCTGTTTCAGGGATCCCCAAAGAGTTGATCTATCCAAATCCATAGTTGCAAAGGGGTTGTCAACAATTCCTTGGCATTCTTGGTTTTAAACAACTTCAGTAATTCATAGGGTGACTAAAAAGAATGTGGAAAGAATGAAAGTTCAGTTATTAAAAGTGAACAGGAATTGGGGATTATGACAATGTCTCAACCATACACATACAGTCCATTTTCTAACAAGCAAGAGGAATTCAGGCTGCATTAGTAAGGGAGGGAATTATCAGCAGAAAGAGTGCCATACAGTAACAAATGATGGTAAAGATTATGGGAGATCCAGAAGTAGGCAATTTCCACTTCTTCCCTTTCAAACGCAAAATGTGTTATCAAACTATTAATTAAATTATTCAACTGGACAACTACTAGAGTTACTGTAACCTGGAAAAGTGATTAGCTTATTAAATATTGAACAACAATTTGACTCATGGTAACATTTCCAGGAGAAAAAAATTTGCAATACTATTATACCTTCTGTGCACACTTGCCTGCCTCTAAGAGCATAAACAATGACATAATGGATGAAACCAGTGGTCCATGCAGCCCAGTATCCTGTCCCGGAGAGCGGCCAGTACCAAAGCTTCAGGGATCGTGTATAGACTGGGGCAGCTGGGATGATCAATCCCTGTCTTTTCATTTGCTTCCTATCTTTTAACCTTAATGATCCATGTCAGGACCTTCTGTCTTATCTCACAATCTCTTAATTTCTTTAAGAGCCTTTGGTGAAGGACCTTATTAAAAACTGGCATTGTACTAGCTAGCTTCCAGTCATCTGGTCTAGAGGTTTTAACAATAGATTGGTTCTGCAATTTCATATTTGAGTTCCTTAAGAATTGTTGGGTAAATACAAATCTGACCCTAATGACTTATTCCTGTTTAAATAATCAATTCATTCTAAAAGGCTTCCTTCGGAGGGGGGAGAAGAGTACTTCAGCCACATCAACCAGAAGGGATAGCTCTGGTGAGAGTATCTTAAACTTTCAGCAAGTTCTTGGGCAGCCAGTTGGTATCAACTGAGAAACAGAACCCCAAGGACTACCACACATCAGTCAAGGTGGCGTGAACAGAGATGACTCAAGGCAACATCTAGGCTTCAACTGACACACTGCTAACAACCTTCTCTGAACTTATTCTCCTTGACTTCTCTGTACTCGTTACTGTCCCTGGAAGCCTTAAACTTTCAGCAAGTTCTTGGGCAGCCAGTTGGTATCAACTGAGAAACAGAACCCCAAGGACTACCACACATCAGTCAAGGTGGCGTGAACAGAGATGACTCAAGGCAACATCTAGGCTTCAACTGACACACTGCTAACAACCTTCTCTGAACTTATTCTCCTTGACTTCTCTGTACTCGTTACTGTCCCTGGAAGCCTCCCTCTGCAGAAACACACCACCACGTCATAATTATTCTTTGTAGGCACCCACTTTGGATGTATAGTTCTTGGTGTAGTAGACCTTCAACGTGCCTGCAGGCAAGGAGAGCACGAATCTGAATTGGATTAAAGAAACATACTTTAATCTGTACACCCACAAAAAGTTAAACTTGTTCAAATGTATGTCCCCCAGCCATAGATGCTTTAGGGGCCTGATCTTGCAGATCTTTTTTCATGCAAGTAGTACAAATTCCTCCATCACGATGGAGAGGTGGTGGGGACAAATCTGACTTACTGGCATTTGTGACCCTGTGCACTAGATCACTAGGCCTGGAGCAAGGAGTCAGGCCCACCTCTCTAGGACAGGAGCCAATGTTGTAGGGTGCATGTGACACAGGCTCACTCTCCACCACCACTTCATGCGGCCTCCCTTTCTTCTGCAGGCCAACATTAGGTGTTTGGTGTCAGGGCAGAGGATGTGGCTGTAGGAAGTCGGTGTCACCTTGGCACTTAGAGTACAGTGCATCCGCTGAATCAGGAAGCCACAGAAATAGCCGCCTTGGTATCAGAAAGACTAGTCGCATCAGAAAGGCCCTTTAATTTCATTTAGAATGGCCAAAGTCAGATTGAGAGGACCAAGGGAGGAAGATGTTTTAAATGGACTTCAAGACAAGTGTGAGGTGAAATACAATTAGATCAGCCACGGGGCATTTTGTACCTGATGCCAACGTACTTAGGGAACTCATCTCTTCTCTCTACACGACTTTATAAACCAAGCTATGGCTTTCAACAGTAGAAAGGAGATGAATATACTTAATTTAACTAGCCAGCTGCTGCTGAACAAGCCACCAATCCACATATTAAACTTTGTTCCTTCCTACTTAGCCTGTGGGAGGGGAGGAGTGGATGATTCAAAGTTTCCTGAGATTAATGGGACTCTTTCCATGGACTTTGATGGGTATAGGATATGGCCCTTACTGTATCTCTCTACCCCTCTCCCTGTTTCCCTCCCTCTGCCAATGACACCAACCTCAATTGCTCACTTGTCAACTCCTCCCACGAAGGCATTTGAACATCCTTCCATCCCACTCCTCTTACATGCAATGCCCTCATACCCATTTCTGCCATGGTGCTTTCATGCAGTCAGACAGTGGTGATGCAGCAAGACCCAAAGACAAATGAGAGATGCTGATATTTTTGGTGAAATAAAACTTTACAAAGTTAGAACACGCATATAAATATCAAGGTTAGACATTCTTCTAGAAGCGACTGCTCAAATAGAAGTTATGGGTTGGATGCAGAAGTTATTGGGAGTGTTTTTTTAACCTGTCTGCTAGAGATCACAAGGGTGAACTTTTTTAGGTTGGGGGCTGCTGACCAACAATTTAAAAAAAACAACCAAAAAACTCCACCCTGCAAATCCTCACTGTCGAAGGAGAATGATCCCCCACATTCTCCTCACACACCAAGTCTAGCAGGGCCCAGGCTAGTAATTACATGTGCTCCAACCCCTTAGGTGGACAGTGGGGGAGGAAGGGATTGGAGCTCCAACAGGGGCTCCCCAATGCTGGGGGGGGAGGGGGAGAGCTCCGGGCCTCAGGGGCTTGATCCAAGCAAGCCAGGGGCTTCATCTGGCCCCTGTGCCTTAGGGTCCCCACTCCAGACTAAATGATCAAAAGGGTCCCTGCTGACCTCATAACAGTTACACAATCTTACAACCTATGAAACAGAAAATGCATCACTCGCCCGCCACAGTGCTCATCATCTTAGATTGTACGCACTTCAGGCGAGGACTGTTTTCTCCTCCCTGTAGCAATTAGCGCAGCTGGACTGTGATGCCAAATTGGCCCTCTGGGTATTAGAATAATAAAAACCAATTAATAATGAACTGAACTAAATACAAACCTTATTGATTACAGCATTAATAGCATGGGATCTCAGAAATAGGTTATTTGGATAATAACCTGACTCAAAAAGAAGAAAGTATTCCCAAACACACTTTCCCGAGCAGACCTTAAAAACGTCACTGAATGCTCCATTGACTCCAAAGCTGATTTACGTGCAAAGGGAACAAGAAACCAACCTGCAAGTATATGTAACTCTAAAAGTCTGACCCACAGCCTGCTGAAGTCTATGGAAAGATTGCCACGGCTTCCAATGGGCTTTGGATTAGGCACTTAATGGCTGAATCACTTACTGGTATCTAATGCTTCATAATTATTCTTGTAGTGCAATTCCTTTGGGAGGATTTGCTTTCGCTATATAAGTGATATTCCAAGTAATCAAGCAGGAAAGTGGTTTCCTTTCAAAGCAGGTCATTGTGGAAGCAAACAACCTCTCTGTGTGCAAACATTGTTTGTCCATGAGTTGAGGGGAGGAGAGAAAAAAAAAAAAAGGCGTTTACCACATCCTGAGAAAACAGCGACCAAATATACTATACATTTGTAAGGCCCCTATATGTGAAAGAAGCTTAATAAATTGCACAGAGGGTATTAGATCTTTGTAAAAATGTGGACCAGGACAAATCACAGATGGGTGGAACATAGGAAACACATTTGTCCAATTTTACTGTACATTTTCTAAACCCTATAGCCAGCTTAAAAAAAAAGAAATCTGTTACCAGTCGGAAGGAACACAAAAATAATCCTCTTTTGTTTTGGGGTTGTTTTGGTTCCCTCCCCCCCCCCCCTTTTTAACCTAATCCTTTGATTTTTGGGAGGGACCCTAATGTGTGGTTTGAGTATTTGGGGTGGCAATACTGCAGTGTGATGAATTCAGTATAAAGGTATTTATAGCAGCATAGCTTATCCCATACAGGGAAGAAAAGTCAACTCTACCCATCTACAGCATCTTTCTACTGGTATAAAAACTGTGTCCATTAGAGGCCGTACCATTATTTTGGTTACAAAACAAAAACAAGCAGTCACATGCTTAACCCAGATAGTAATACAGGTACATAAAAACCATGTTTAGATCAAGCCTAAATGAATTTATCTTCGTGAGGTAGGAAGAATTATTCACATCTCACCAATGGTGAAGTTAGGGGGCCTGTTTTTTTAAAGGAGGTATGTAATGTTCCCTCTAATCTTTACCATCCATGTATGGATTTTTTCCATTTGTGGAATACATTTTTGTGTGTGCCGAGAAATGTGTGAACGTGCACCACTAGTAGAAACAAAAACCTAGCTGCAGGTGCTCTGCTAAAGCAGCTGGGCAGCATTTAAATCTCTCCTGTCGACAAAACCCTGTAGTCTAGACGTACCCAAGAACATAGACTGCTCTTGTAGGGAGGATAAATATGAATAAATCTGTGCCTTAATTTGCCAAAGGACACAGGGATGTCCATGGCAAAGCCAGCAACTGAGGCAAGATTCAAATCCCAATGCAGTGCTTTAATCAGGGGATGCCATACTGAGCTCTCTTTTGTTGACTGTTCATGTAGAAATCCTTCCCCCTTAAAAAAAAAAAACGGTTGGCCACTGGCAGTCATAGGGCCTATGCTTCTATTATTACATCATTTAGAATCAGCAGCATTTATTAGGTCAAACGTGTGTAGAAAATGCCATAAAATAATGCTACTGAAATTAAAATTCATCTTTATCCAGCACCTTCTGCTTTACTGGCTCTTAGGGTAAGAAGCTTTTTTGAAAGAGCAATCTGCTTTTTTGAAGGAGCGTGTCCAGTCTGTATGGACACTCTCTCGAAAGAAAGCCCTGATTAGTATTCATAGAATGGCCACCAGGGTATCTGTGCTCTTTTTGATTGCTTTTGGAGGGGGGGGGGGGAAGGGGGCGTTGTTGGGATTTTTTTTTGGGGGGGGGGGGGGGGAGAAGAGGGCGGAGGAAGAAAAGTCCCTGTTCTGCATCTCCACACACACACACACACACACCCCTCTCCCCCCACCCCTTTCTTCAAAAGAGCTCTTTTTTTTCAAAAGCATTCTTCCTTGTAATTTGAGGTTTACCAATGTTGAAAATACTCCTGTGTTCTTTCCATTTAATTTTGAAAGAACAGGATTGCAGTGTGGAAGTAGGTGATGTTTTTCCGGGGGGGGCGGCAGGTTTTTTTTGGAAAAAACAATGTAGTCTAGACATCCCCTCCCCCCAAGGGTAAGAGAGTCTATCACATTCAAAATGAAGACAGGGCCAGGTTATAACTTGTGCTTCCCTAAACGAACAAGGCTCTTCAAAGCTTTGCTTCCTATTTTTTCCATTATTCGCCTCGCCAACATTCCTGACTGTTCACCACGGCTTATTTTCTTTGTTTGTTTTTGTTTCGTTATCTAACGTACAGCCTGGTCATGCCAACGCTACAAGGCAAAGTTCTTAATGAAAGGACTCATTGATGGTAAGTGCTTCACTCAGTAAGCAATATTTGTAGAACAGGGCCCTCTGAATGATAGCTGCTGTGGTAAAGTCCCTTATAAATGCATATGGTGCCTGTGCTATATATTTGAGAGAGTATGTCTGTTTGTTCAAGAACACCTCCTAAATGGTGAGCGTTAGGATCACCAAATTCAGTATATAGCTTCCTCTTACCATAACTAAAATCAAGAAGGGTTTGGTTGAGCCAGGAAAATGGGACATGCCGGGAATGGGACTGCTTCTCATAAAACCAAACAGAAAACCAGACAGTCACCAATCAAGCACAGCCCTCAAAATTGATATAACTAAGCAAATGAGGTTTGGAGGAGGACAGGGGCTCAGGTTAAGCATGCAGGGTGCCTCCTCTGCTCACCAGCCCCAGCAGCTCCATTCTGGGCCAGTGGAGGGGCTCTGCCTCCACCCATCGGTGGCATCAATGTGCTTAGGCCAGAGAGAGGGGGATTCCCCTGTCCCCAACTGCATTTGCTCCCTGCTGGTGCCAGGGGAGGGAACACCTCCCCCCAGCCATGGTACCCAACTCAAAGATGCCAGGGAACAGGTGGGCCTCCTGTGACCCCCATACAGCTTAACCTGGATCTGTCCCAGGAAGGGAACACGCACTCCTCCCCTAAGTATGCCCACTGGAGCTGCAGCAACCATGGATCGGCGCCTCTCACCTGACCCCAAGCTACTGCAGTGAGAGGAGGTTGGGATAGTTCTCTCTCCCCCGGGTAGCCTGCACACTGAATCCCTCAACCCCAGCGCAATTAAAATTAAAAAAAATAAATAAATAAATAAATTTAAAAAAAAAACACAACCACAAGACAAGATTCTTCAGCAAATTGAAAACCTATTTATTTCCCAAAAAACAAATACAACAAAAAAGTTAAGTTAGGGTTCCAAGCAATGCCAGATAAATCTTCTAATACAATTTTAAAAAGCAATAATCTAGGTTCACCTTAAAGACTAACAAAACATGTAGACCGTATCAGGAGCAATCGTGGGCAAAAGAAGTGGGTTTTGCCCACGAAACCCTCTAGTAGCACCTTAAAGACTACTAAAGCATATAGAGGGTTTTTTGGGCAAAACCCACTTCTTTTGCCCACAATTGCTCCTGATACGGTCTACATGTTTTGTTAGTCTTTAAGGTGCTACTAGACTTTTTTTTTTTTTTACGATTTTCCTGTTACAGACTAACTGATACTCCTCAAACTATAAATGAAGTAATTCCTCAATAAGTTGCATGACATTATCATCTGCCATAAAAACAAGATCCTTCAAGAAAAAAAGAATTGTGTGTTTCAATATCTATTCCACCATCCTAAAGGAACACTTTTTTCCTCATGACAATCTTATCAAAGAAATGTAGGGGGGGGGGAACAAAACATATTAAAGAAAACAATACAGTATTCGGAAATTACAGGCACTGGTCAGACTGACCTAAGTACCCCAATGTTAGATATCAAAGCAGTAGCCACTGAAAGCATTAAACCCTCATAGTTTTACAGTTTTCTGCTTGGAGGTACAAAACTGATTCAGTTTCGGATGGTTTCTGTTCAATGTCTTCATCAACAATTGCACATAATGACAGAGGGAATACTCTTATAAAGTTTGCAGAGGATACCAAGCTGGGAGGGGCTGGAAATGCTTTGGAGGATAGGGTCATAATTCAAAATTATCTGGACTGAACTGAAGAAATGGTCTGAGGTAAATAGGATGAAATTCAATAAGGAGAAATGCAAAGTACTTCACAAAAGGAACAATCAGTTTCTCACACACAAAATGGGAAGTGATGGTCTAGGAAGAAGTACTGCCGAAAGGGATCTAGGGGTTAAAGTGGACCACAAGCTAAGTATGAGTCAATAGTGTGACACTGTTGCAAAAAAACCCCACAAAAAACATGATTCTGGGATACATTAACAGGAGTATTGCGAGCAACACACGAGAATTCATTCTTCTGCTCTATGCTGCATGGATTAGGCCTCAACTGGAGTATTGTGTCAAGTTCTGGGAACCACATTTCAGGAAAGATGTGAAGAAATTGGAGAGGGTCCAGGGAAGAGCAGCAAAAATGATGAAAGGTCTAGAAAACATGAGCTATGAGGGAAGACAAAGAATTGGGTTTGTTTAGTTTGGAAACGAAAAGACAGAGGGGCTATGATATCAGTCTATAAGTACCTACAAGGGTTTTGCAAGGAAGAGGGAGAAAAATTATTTTCTTTGTCTTCTGATGATAGGACAAGAAGCACTAGGCTTAAACTGCAGCAAGGGATGCTCAGTTTGGACATTAGGAAAAAATTCCTAACTGTCATGGTGATTAAACATGGATATAAATTGGCTAGGGGAGATTGTGGAATCTTCATCACTAGAGATATTTAAGAGCAGGTTAGAAAACATCTATCAGGGATGATCTAGAACGGGTCTGGACTTGATGGCCTCTGGCAGGATTTTATGTTTCAATTTGGGCATCAAGGTTTGGGCTTCAGACAAGGTTTGCAAGTGAAGCCTGGCTCAACTATCTCACTGAAATGTAAGTACAATATTTATTTTTTTCTGTTGATTTACTGTATAATTAGAGGTTACAAAATGAGAAAGACATTTTAGTACTTTGAGTAGTGACACTTTTGTCTTTTAAGCACTAATGCAGAAGGGTGACTGCGTGACTACTCTTGTAAACACCCTGAGAGCACGTCACAGGAAGAAGAAAGATCATCCCAAAAACATCTCACCACAGTACTGTCTTATCAAAACAGTGGGCAAGGAAGTACATGCTAGTGAGATTGCACAAATGTGTGTATTTCTCTTAACAGAGAAGTGATCTACAGTAAATGCCAAACCCCAGCCTTTCTACAATGATCTTTTCCCATTTTTACTCACCATCTTTAGCAGCAGCACAGTAACCATATTTTAATACATAGCAGGTTCTCACTTGCTCATAAGAAGCTTGATCTTATTTTCAATACTTTCAGCATTCTCTACATATTCTTCTTCCACCATAGAAGAAGAGTTGCCTTTCCTACTGTAAAGATCAAATGCTTGGTGCTAACATCATAAGTTGTTGTCTATGTAATCACATTCATCCAGAGAAACACTGTGCCGTGCTGAGTCATAAGCAACTGATATCTTTTGGTGCAAGCAGTGTGAGGAGAGGAGTCACCAGAGGGACAGGCAGGGGGCAAGAAAAGACCAACAAGTGACAGGTAGTGTTTGCGTTTAACAGATTGGATCAAAGAGAAATCAGCTTGGTAGAGATGTACAAAATGAGAAACTCCACCGCCAACAAAGGACCAAATCCCTGCAGAAATGCCCTTGGAAATGAAAACAAGAAATGTAAAATCAAAGCAATGCTCCAGTTCCTGGGTCCCAGCAAGGATAAGTCTCCCTTGTGACAACAGCAGCTTTGCCTGCCGAAAATAATTTGTATTGATATAGGTACAAGCGTCTGGCCTGGCCACATTTAGGGAAAATCCCTCTTTGATTTAAACAAGAATTCTTAATTAAAACGCATGGTGCTAGCTGAGAGGTGTAACAGAAAGAACACCCACAGTCGTCTGGTGGTTACATCTTTTCACACCTTACTATCATAGTTGAACCTCCTAAATCCAGGACTTTTCTGATCATTGCTTACAGAATCTCACTCAAATACGAATTATGAGCAAGTCATTTTAGTGGCAGAAAGCTTTGCAAACTTACAAGAGCACCCCAGAGGCCAGGAGTGGAAACTGGCCAGGAGTCCAGCAGCTAGGAGCCCCAGCGTGGGCTGGCAGCAGCGGGGCCAGCAGCCACCCAGGAGCCCCATCCCCGGGGAACCCCAGTCAAGTAGTAATGGGATCAGTGAGCACCATGCCTGGGGAGCCCAGAAGCAGGGCCAGTGATGGCCAGCAAGCTCTAGTCAGGGCTGGGGCCCTGTAGCCATGGGACCAAAGTGGAATCAAAAGCAGGGCCCACAGCAGGTCGGGGCAGTGGTCTGGGGGGGCTGATGGCAAGGGGAGTCCCCTGATCTGGCAAATTCCCTCATTCGGGACCGGTCAGGTCCTGATGGTGCTGGATGAGGGAGGTCCAGCTTGTAGTTCCTTTCTCTGCCATCTCTTCTGGCTCTCCGCACACAAATTACACTAACTGGAATATAAACTCCTTCCTGTGGAGGAAAGGAAAAAAGCAGGGCAAATAAATTGTTATCTTATACCAAATGGCTGAAGTAATTAAAGAGAACAATGGGTATGTTAAAGTATGGTGAGATATGAAACAGATCGTGTGTGTGTGTGTGTGTGTGTGTGTGTGTGTGTGTGTGTGTGTGTGTGTGTGTGTGTGTGTACACACACACTTACAGAATCTCACTCAAATACGAATTATGAGCAAGTCATTTTAGTGGCAGAAAGCTTTGCAAACTTACATTTAGTTAATTATCTGGATACATAGCTTCCTTCTGATAAGCAATCCTGATCAAAAGGATTTTTGAAAACACTTGTGCAAAGTACCTGTGTTTGCATTCAGGTGTATCCATTTATCCTTGGGGTTTCAAATTCAATCCCTCTGACACACCAATTTTAAGCATTTAAAGGTAAATCTGAGCCCCATTCACTTCAATAGGATCATGATTTTATCCTGAGAATGTTAACAGCTTAAGTCATTGAAATTTTCCCTGCAGAAAAAATTGATGCCAAAATGAAGCATTGATTTGGATGGACTTGCAGCCATACCTCCAGGTGCTGTGATCTCTTATCACAATCTAAACAAACAAGGGCAAAATGTGGTCTACAAGAAATGCCTCAGTGAGTTGTTCCTCAGTGAGAAATGCCTCACTCATGTTGCAGTGTATTCTTCCCTATGCTGTACTAATACCTGTCCCAGGCTGGTGTTTTAATTTGATATTGCATGTGTGATATTGCAGGGCAAGTGTGCAGATAAAGTCTAATAAAACACGGTCATTAAAGACTTCATGGGACTTTTTGCAACCGCAGGAATTTAAGTGTTTCAACCAGATTCTAACCCTAGAAATTACATCTTATCTTCCTACATTTTCCCTGCAGCTTCAATTGGAAGTTATCCATGATTAAACAGTACTTTGGGATTCTTTAGCTAGAGAAGGTATAAAATGGTGAGATTCTGAAATCAGATACACTATAGTCTTTTGGTTTGGTCCATTCCACTCTTACCATTGCTTTTTACTGCATTAGGCAGCATCTTTAAATGCTCACTGCTTCACGAAAGACAACTTACATGCTACAATGCTTGAATAAAAAAACCCACCACAGAAACAGACTTCCTTTTATTTCGTTACCTGAAGGAAATCTATGTCTCTGAAGATGAATGCCAACATAAAAACCTCAAGGGGAAAGCACTGAATTTAACAAACAGAAACATTTTACAAGGCTTGCTGTAATATTTGTTTCTCGTACACACAAATATAAATACCTAGGGGTATTAAGCCCCGCGCTCTTGCTTTTTAAAAAAATTATCCATCACATATACAATGAGTTGCAATGATAAGTACATGACATGCACTCTCATTTTTCTCTGCCGTCCTGACAGGGGAGAGGAAGGAAGAAGCCTTATCTCCTTGGATACTTCTTACCACAATCTGAAGAGCTTGTTTTAATTTTCATGCAGAAGCAAACCACTCTTGGAAGTAACCGACAAATAAATGAGACAGACATCTTAAAATAGTACCTACTAGTGG